AAGAGTTCAGAAAGAATTACAAAAGGATTCTTAGCTTTTGTAATTCTACCTTTTGCGTTCTTAAATATAATCATGAAAGAAGTATAAACTATACATTACTTTTCAATTTAGATTATTTCACTAGTGGGATTCCCAGTAGATTGTCCAAAAATAAATCACAATAGTTTAACTCAGAGAGAATTTAATATGAGATTCTGAAAGGTTTTCAAGCACTGGAGGCTTAGTATTGGAACAGCTCTGAAGCTTTGAGGACAAAGCCAGCTCATTGTTCTGCCAAAGGAGGAGCTGCAGTGTGATCTGGAAGACACAGAACCGATATTGTGCTCAGTTGGACCTCTGGATGGAACATAATTACCACATCTGAGTTGATATTGGTCCAGGATACTGGTTTGTAGTGCTTCCATTCTTGTGAAAATCCTCAGACTTTTAATTGCTATAAAAAACTCATATTCCATGACTCATTCTAAAGATTACACCACTTGGCTCACCTGAAAATACATCTGCTCTACCTGCTTTTCTTATTTTTTGTAGTGCTTTGTATACATTTGGCTGCATGAGAAGTTTTTGTCCATAAAGGATAAAGAGAGACTTTTATAAGGAAGATGTTTTAGTGCCTAGTGTTGGCGGGACCTGATAGGTCTTGGGCTTGGATAGGTGCTGATAGATAGATTTAGGATAATCCTTTATAGGAAACTATTCAATTATTCTATCTGGCAGTGACTGCATATCTGCTTGGAAAAGAAGTTTGTATTTATCAATCAATAATGGCTGTTAGGAGAGGGCTTTGTGTGTATTTTGAAGCTCTGATGTTAGGTTCATCCACATCTAAAATTGTCAAGGCTCCTTGCTGAATGGACCCCTTTATCAATTTGTAATGTCTCTCTTTGTCCCTGGTAATATCCTGGTTCTGCAGACTTTTGTCTGATGTTAATATAGCCACTCCAGTTTTCTTTTGATTAATGTTCACAAGGTATATTTTCTTCCATACTTTTACTTTATATGTAAAGTGGGATTTTTTAAAAACAGCCTATGGTTCAATCAGGCTTTTTTATGCTTTCTGACAATTGATGTCTTTTAATTGATGTATTTAGATTATATTTGGTGTTATCGTTATATGGTTGGATGAAGATCTACTATTTTGCTGGATTTATATTTGTTCCATATGTTCTTTATTTCTTTTTCTTCTTTTTTTATCTTCTTTTAGATTAATTAATTATTTTTATGATTTAATTTACACTATTGTTTATTGTTTATGCCTTAAAATGTTTTTAGTGGTTGTGTTAGAGTTTACAATAGACATCTTTACTCTCTCTTTGCCTTCAAATATTATATTCCTATATGTGTAGTGTAAGAACATTTGAACACTGTGCTCCTAATTCATTCCTCTTATTCTTTGTGTGATTGTTGTCATAAGTTTAACTTTATATATATGCTATTAAATACATAATAAGAGAGTACTGCAAAAATAGAATTAAAAGATAATGTGAATCTTTTCACAAACTTTTGGAAGTACCCTCACACATTGCTACAATTTTGCTTTGGACTATCAATTATATTTTAGAGCATTTAAAAATAATAAAAAATGAATTATGCATTTACCTTTATATATACCATTTTGAGCACTCTTTGTTTCTTTGTATAGATGCAAGTTTTTGTCTGGTATCATATGCCTTCTACCTGAAGGATTTCTCTTAACCTATCTTATAGTAAAGGCCTGCTGATAATCAATTCTCTGTTTTTGTTTTTCTGAAAAAGTCTTTTTTAGCTTTCATTTTTGAAAGACAGTTTTACTGGGTATGGAATTCTGGTTTGGTAGTTTTTCTTTCCATATTTTAGAGATGTGACTTCATTATCTTCTGGCTTGCATAGTTTCTGAGAAGTCAACTGTAATGCGCATCTTTATTCTTCTGTGTGTTCTATTTCCATCCTCCCCCTCTTTCTCTGCCTACCTCCCCTGCCAGCCACAGCCTTCAAGATTTTGTTTATTTGTTTTTGGTTTTCAGCAGTTTGAGCGTAGTGTGTCTATGGTTTTTATTTATTTGCTTTTTTGTATTTATTCTGCTTGGTATTGTCTGAGCATCTTGGATCTGTGGTTTTGTGTCTTCTATTAATTTTAGAGAGTTCTTGGACATTTTTTCAGATATTTCTTCTGTTGTATTCTTTTTATTTCCTCCTAGCATTGCAATTAGATGTATAAGAGATTATTTCATACTGTCCCACCAGGTCTTGGGTCTTCTGTTTTGTTCTATTTACTGCCCCCCCCCCCACCTTGTGTTTCAGTCTGGTTGATTTCTCTTGACCTCTGTTCAAATTCACTGTTCTTTTCCTCAGCTATGTTGAGTCTAATGATGAGCCTGTAGAAGGCATTCTTCAACTCTGTTACCATGTTTTTAAATTATAACATTTTCATTTGACTCTTTAGTTTACAACTCTCTGATGAAATTTTCTATCTCTGTGCATCTTGTTCACCTTTCCCACTAAAGTCTTTAACATATTAATTATGGTTATATTAAATTCTCTCTCTGATTATTTTAACATCTGGGTCATATCTGAGTCTGGTTCTCTTGATTACTTTGTCTCTTGATAGTTTGTTGTTTTTTTTTCCTTGCTTCTTTGTGTGTCTCATTATTTTTGGTTGAAAGCTGGACATCTTGTTTAAAAGTGTAGACACTGAGGTAAATAGTACTTATGCCTGGAAATGGGCATACCTCTGTTTTTGCTAGGCCTTTAGTGTGGGTATTGGGTTAATGTATTAAGGAATTGAGCCATGTCTAGGTTTTTCCTGTTGCTGTGGCTACCCTCATGTACAGATTTCAAAATTTTCTAGCATTACTTTTGTTTAGGAACAGCATTGCCTTGCCAGAGGGGTTTTCTGCATGCTCTGTTTTACCCTCAGCTTTAGGCTGAGCCTGCACATTAGAGATTTTCACCTCTTGTTCTTTCCTCTCCTGCAGAAGTAGACTTTTGTCATTTGAGACTTGGTACTTGCTAGGCTGGAGTAGGGGGAGGGCATTCTCTCTTTTACTGGTTCAGATTCAATCTTAGGCAAGTGCTGTATCCCTGAGTCTCAGGGATAGGGCCTTCTTTATGGTCCTGCCCCTCTTGGGTTGTAGAAAATCTCTAATAAGTCTAGGCCTAGGATATTTTTGGCTCCTTCCCAAGGGTGAAAGAGTTTTTCTTTTTCCATTTCCTAGCAGCAGTTGGTCTTGACTGGTACTCTTAGGATGACAGGGTTTGTTCAGTAGAGGAGATGGGGAGAAGGATCTGGGTGGAGTTTAGTTTCTGTTCCACAGTGCTGCCTCTTTGCTTCTCAGGCTTCCACCATGATGGAGGCTTTGTCTGGTCTTGCACCTGCCCTTGTGAACATTTGGTGAGATCTGTGAGAAGATCCTGGAGGTGGGTACAAATTCCACTTGTGTATGTGGCCCCCAGAGGTTCTATATTCCCATGCAAGTCCACACTAGGCTTTTAGCAATTCATAACATTTTCAGATGGATTCTTCTTACCAGCTTGTATGGGTGGGGCCTGACATTTTCCCCAGGTGAACAAGTGTTGTATCCCATCTTTCCTTGGAGGAGCCTGTCTTTCTTTATATTGCAAGCTATAAATATTACATTGGTTGCTCTGTGACCTCGGCTCTCTGGTAGGTGCTAGGAAGGATAAGATTTTGTAAATTATATAGTTTTTCTTTGTTTGAATGTTAAGAGAAACATTCTTTCCAGCTTTTGACATCTCTGGGAGTGTTTTCACTTACTGACTTTTCAAGCTGTGAGATTACAGTTTTGCTGCTTCATTTGGGTGCAGTTAAAGACTGATTCTCAAATGAACTAGCATTAAAGGCACGACTTATGTCTTTGCAGAATCTTGGGGACTGTGGCAGCCATGGAGCCAGTGTAGCACCACATGTGGGGATGGTGTCAGAGAGCGTCGCCGAGTGTGTCTCACTTCCTTCCCCTCTAGAGCTGGTTGCCCTGGAATGTCCTTGGAGATGTCACCATGTTCCCTGGAGGAGTGTGCTGGTAGGTACTCTTGCTTCTTCCGGGAGTATCTCCTCAGAGCCTCCGACAGAAGGACTTTTGAATCCAGGCTGGCGTGAGAATCACCAGTCTGAATTCAGAAGTGGACTTGTTAATGCTCTGTGATTGCTGTTGATTTTACTAACCCTGTATCTAAGACTGGCAGGAGCTGGGAGAGCAGCTTAACAGTGAGGTAATGGGATTTAACATTGTGGAAGATAGGGAATAGCAAGGAAACATGACTAGATTAAAGATTCAGACATATTAAATAATTTTTAAAAATACAGAAATGAGGATGGGGGATAATCATTTCTTCTTGAGATTTTGTTGTTGTTGTTATATTTCTCCCTCTGCTTCTCCCTACCAAAACTGTTTTCCTTAATTTGTCTACTTATCATCTCAGAGAAGCCCAAGGGAACCACATAGACAATTACATGTCACAATGAGGTGCGACACCCTGTCTTATCTCAAATGGCCTAAGTTTATTCTTTATCAGTCCTTCCTGGGAGGAGGACTTAATTTGTGGCCAATTAGAACTACCCTATTAATTATCTTTTTTATTAAAGTCAGATTTACTGAGGTATAATTTATATTTAGTAAGATTCACACTTTTTAGATGTACAGATCTATGAGTTATTCTCTCTTCTGTCTTTTTCTTTTTGCAGGCTCTGACCCAGGCTCTTCCTCCAGCCCTCAGTCTGTCTCTTTCCCTAGGCCCTGGGCCTCTCCCTGAATCAATTCTTTCTCTGGTTATATCTCATACTGTTTTCTAAGGCTCCCTTCTCTGTTCACTCTTTTCTTTGTAAGTCCCTTTTACTTTCCACAGCTCCTTCCTGTGTATAACTTCCTTCAAATACAACTTATCCTTGGGCCAGCCCAGTGGTGCACTGCTACAGTACGCTGCTTGGGAGCGTGGCGGCGCTCCCGCCGAGGGTTTGGATCCCACATACAGACCGGTTCCCGCTCACTGGCTGAGCAAGGTGCGGGCGCAGCACCGAGGGTTGCGATCCCGTTGCCGGTCCCGGTCTGGTATAGGCGCGACACTGAGGGTTGCAATCCATTGCCGGACACGAAAAAAGACAAAAAGGGAAAAAAAAAAAATACAACTTATCCTCTTAATTCTAGGATGGTGTATTAAGATATTCCATCCAGAATCTTATATCACTCAATGGCTTATACTGTTTTTCAACAAGTGACAGTAACTTCAACCATTTATTGACCATCTGCTGTGTGCCAGCCATTTAATATAGTATCTCACTTAAACCTCATAATAATTGTACAGGGTAGGTATTCTTGTGCTGGGCTCTTGAGAGTTTACTGCCTGCCAGACATTTTTCAAAGTGTCCTGCATATATGAAGTAGGCATATTATATCTCCACATAGGAGCGCCGCCGCGCTTCCCAAGCGGCGCACTTATCCAGTGCGCCACCGGGCCGGCCCTCCTGCATTTTCTAAGCATCTTCAAGGCACACAACTAGTGGATGCTCCATGAGAATTTGATGTGAATTGTCTCTGGGCATGATGCCCACATGGCTCAGTTAGGTTTGCTTCAGCCTACAGAGCTGAATCCTATTAGTTTACTATGGGTTAGAGTAATCAATAATCCTTGCTCTTCCCACATGCCATCCCACCTCCAGGTACACTACCCCCAGTTAGTTGACTGACCTTTTCTCTGGTCCTGCTTCTTGGATAAAATCCTTCTGTCAAGTCCTGCCTTGTATTCTCCAGTTCCAAGTTAAAAGACCATCCTTAGTTCCTTGTCCCTTTGGGGTCTGGAGGAGTTTGGTGTTTTTCTGTGTTTGGCTCTCAGGGCACCTTTTAGCCAAAACCACAGGCACCTGGCAATGTCTCAGCCTGTGTCCCTGCCTGTGGCCTTAGAAAATCCTTCTTGCTATTTTATCTCTCCAGCCAGTAACATAGCACTTGTTGTCTTCATTCAGCATCTTGAAGATGTTATTCTCCCTTCTGTCTTTTTCTTTTTGCAGACTCAGATCCAGGCTCTTCCTCCAGCCCTTAGCCTGCCTGTCTTCTTCCCTAGGCCCTGGACCTCACCCTGAATCAATTCTCTCTTCAGTTATGTCTCATAATGTTTTCTAAAGCTCCCTTCTCTGTTCACTCTTTTCTTTGTAAGTCCCTTTCATTTTCCACAACTCCTTCCTTGTGTATAACTTCCTCCACATATCCTCTTATCCTCTTGATTCTGGGATGACATATTAAGATATCCCATCCAGAATCCTATAACACTCAATGGCTTCTACTGTTTTTTGACGAGTGACAGTAACTTGAACCATTTATTGACCATCTGCTGTGTGCCAGCCATTTAATACATTATCTCACTTAAACCTCACAATAATTATACAGGGTAGGTATTATTGTGCTGGACTCTTGAGAGCTTGCTGCCTGCCAGACAGTTTTCTAAGTGTCCTGCATATATGAAGTAGGTATATTATTATCTCCACATTACAGACGAGGACTCTGTGACATAGAGAGGGTGAGTGGCCTGCCCGAGATCATAAAGTTAGAAAGCAAGGGGACTAGATCTGACTCCTTACTAAGCTACCTATCTTGGATATTTTGCCATTTACATGGGCCAATCCAAATGCATATACACATCAAAAACCTGGAATTAGCAATCATTTTTGAGGAAATGTGATATTATTTCATGTTCTGACATCTTAATTCTTTAACACTGGCTGAGAACTAGAAATTTGTACGTTATAAATTAGCAGGAAGGGTAAGTGCTATGGACATCCTCCTTCCTCAGATAAATGATTATGTGGATAAAGTTGATCATTTCTTCCAAGTATTCTCTTCTTCCTGTTTAACCTATTTCCACTCCTTGGAAATGTAGCGATCTCTTCCAGGCTGCTTAGCATCAGGACTCTCCTTCACTCGAGGTGAAAGAGGACAGACTGGATGAGGCAGGGATGGGTGAGTCAAGAAGCTTTGGGCTTTTCTCCAGCTGTGGCTTTTAATGAAGCTGGTCAGAGTCAAAGGAGAATGGAGTTGAGTGAAGAGGTTCGTAATGTGTCATAGCAGTGGTGCACCCACTGTCATCAGCAGAGTGGTGCTACCCACTGTCATCAGCAGCCACTGCAGATGAAAGAAGAGACAAGTCAGGGAACATCTTTCATCATTCAACTATGTTCACCTGGTTAGGAGTTTGCTTTTGTTGGCTCTACAGGAAGGTCTTTATGCCAAGGTCTGAACGCAGCTCTGCGTTAATTTGGTCCATCTTGTTCAACAAGAGAGCAGGAGGGTCCAGTCGCTGTTGCACCCATGTTCCCTCTGATGGAATACTGATCAGCTTGCCATTACCTTCTTAATACTTAATGGATGAATCAATTAATGAAACTCACACTTATTGAGTACCAACTGTGTGCAAGTTACTTTGATGGGGGCTGGGAATGTATTGATAAGACACTTTTCTGTCTTGAAGGCGCTGATGATATAGTAGCTTGGAGGCACATAAGCAGGCACAACACAGAGTACGATATAGGGTCTGCGAGGATAGAGGTCACCACAGCTTGCTGTGGAAGCATGCAGGGCTGATAGTCCCTGCTAGGGACATCTTCATTCTTGGCGGAGGTGATATGTGAGCTGAAGTTTGAGAGCTGAAATGGTGTCACCCTGGTGAAGTAGGTGAGAATGGGAGTTTTAGCAAAGGGAATAATAAAAAAAGGCATGGAACAAGCTGGCACATTGAGACCTGGAGAACTGAAAATAATTGAGAGTGGCTGGAGGACACTATGCCAGGAGGGGTGAGAAAAACGAGGCTGGATGGGTGGGCAAGGACCAGATCCTGAGCGGC